ATTGTGAATTGTTTTGTTGTGTATATATTCAAATATATTTGTGTTAAAAAAGAAAACTGTGTGTATCAATCTTGTTGGCAAATATCATAAACTGACTATATATCGGCTTTTACTTAACTGCTAAATCTAAAGTACAATTAAACTACTAAATTTAAATTATCATTTATCTCGGTTTCAGATCATTTGAAATTCCATTACGTAACACAACAAACCTAGTTACAGTTTAGGATTTTATTGGTTATTTCATTTTTTGTTTATAATTCAAATTATCTCATTTTAACACAGTTGAAAAATAAAAATTATAACGTATTTAATTAGTTTTGTATTTATATTTTGTATTTGCTTTTAAATATGCACCTCGGTGGCTCAGCGTTAATTTTGAGGGCTTATAACGCCAAAAATCAGATTTCGATACCTTCGGTGGGCAGAATACAGACAGCCTATTTTGTAACTTTGTGCTAACAATAAACAATCATATTTTTCAAACAAAAAGTTTACAAATATATTACCGGTATGCCTAAGGATGCTAAATAATATTGCAGACATACGTCTTTAATTTTTAAGAAAGCTGGTTTGTGAAAAAACCCTTAAACTCATATTCATCTACTTTGGCGTAAAGATACACTGAGTGTTTAGCCTGTTTGAATATTAATAACATAGTATTAATAACTGTTTTGCTGCAATGTATCCTGCTGAACTGGAAATAGAAATATATATTTGAAATAAATATAAAAGTTGAGAATTTTCTAGCCATATGTATTGTCTTGCTTCACCTAATAACACTCCCTCATCTTTATGGGACAGATGTTACTTAGTATTTAATGAGTCGGACTGTTAATCTGAGGATTCATGGTACGCATCTTGTTGTTGCAAAACCGTAGTCCGCACTTTGGAGCCATGGGCTCGTTATAAGAGTGGCGGTCAAATCCCATTGTTCGGTCAGATAAGAGTAGTGCAAGGGTTGGCGGTGGATATTGTTGACTAGCTGCTTTCTCTTTACTCTATCAGTTAAGAATTAAGGACGGCTATACGCAGCTAGCCGTTGTGTTTGTTTGTTTGTTTTGAATTTCGCGCAAAGCTACACGAGGGCTATCTGCGCTAGCCGTCCCTAATTTAGCAGTGTAAGATTAGAGAGAAGGCAGCTAGTCATCACC